CATGATGATGTCCATGTGTCCATGAGGTGCACAGTAGAAGACTATTTGAAACCATGCAGCTAACTGCCTTTGCAGCCCCTCATTTCTTACCTAATCAAGTGCACCCAATTTGTAAGAAATTGGAATGCAGTGAGTAAAACTTACTATAAGATTCTAGTTACATCAAGTTCCATAACAGGATGGGGAACTTCAGAGTAGGTTTATGATACAGCCTTGAGAAAGTAGTAGAGAGGGCCTGAGACTAGTACAATGTAGACAGGGGCATTTGCATGTCAGACCTTTATTCTTCTTGACCCGTGACACAGCACTCCTCTTCAGTCTCTGAAAATGAAAAATGTCCACAGAAATAAAACTTGATCCTAGAAAAGATAAAGAGATTAGTGAAAATGTCAAAGGCAGCATGCTGCTCTGAGGAATTCTCAGTACGAGCCTAGCCAGTTCTCTCTTCAAGGGCAGTTGATGGTCAATGCCTCAATGTGACTTGAGAAGAAGAAAGGTCTGCATAGCCTAATGAGGCTGCCCACAGGTCTCACAAAGCTGTATCATTTTCTCTTAAAACTTTCATTGGTTCCCCCAACCTAAAAATGCACTTATATGATCACTCAGGAAATATTTACAGATCTATCATGAAATGTACTGGAGATTCACTGAAACACATGAGTAAAGCCCTTGTGTATTTTCTGGTTAAGAGAAGAAAGAGGAGAAGGGGGGAGGGAGGGAGGGAGGGAGGAGGAAAAGGAAGAAGAGTAGAAAACGAAGAAGCAGCAGCAGCAGTCAGGAAACCACAATTATGATGGGCTGAAATTCGAATAGTTTTATGACAGAGCAGAACTGGCTACTTTAGATTCAGTGGGCTGATGGCCGTCTTTTTAAGGAGGTCCTATTTCAGATGGTTGCAACAAGATGGAACCAGACATGATGATGATCAGAGAGCGCATTCCTGGCAAAAGTGATGGCTACAGCAAAGGCACAAACTTGAGAAACAGACTTGTTATTTGGAGAACAAAGCAAAGGAGGAGAGAGATGCATGGAATGTGGTAAACACAGAAAGATAGGCATAGTCCAAATCGGTTGAGATTCTTAAACCCATGGAGTTAAAGCACAGAGGGAAGCTATTGGGGTTGTCTAAACAGGTGAGTTACATTTAAAAATACCACTGTTCCTCAGTATCTAGGGAAATGGCTTCAGGACCACTCTCCCCATGAGTATTGACATTTACAGGTTTTCAGGCCCCTTATAAATGTCATACTTTCACCTACCCTGTGCACATCCCCCAGTATAATTCAGATCATCACTAGATTACTTATTCCAGCCAATACAATATAAATGGTACTTGAATAGTAATTGTACTGCATTTTTTAGGGAATACAAAATTTACTGTACATGTTCACTGTGCATCCTGAATATTCTCACTCTGTGGTTAGCTGAGTATGTATATATGGAGAGATGATGGTATTCTCACTGTCATGTAGAAAATACATCACCAGGAGGCAAAGATGGAAATGGGGGTGCAAGTGGTGCAGGTCCTGTGAGTCTCTGGACAAAGACAAGTTAATGGTGGCTTGCGATGTGGTGTGAGATGCAGAGGTGGCAATAATCAGATGCATGGCTAGAGCTAATGAACCCTGATGCCAGGTTTGCCACAGAAAAGACAAAAGAAGTATGTACAAATTTTAGATTTGGTTAGGGTTAGATGGTAAGCCCATTTACTGAGGAAAAGAGGGCTAAATGGGGATTGATAACATAAAGCCAAGTGTTCTGTTTTGGACACTGATTTCTGAAATGTGTATTATATACTCTCTGAAGATGTCAACTAGGCAGCTGGACACAGGGGCTTCAGAAAGCACATACTGAGTGGGCCAGAGCTTGTCTTTATGTTCCCAGTGATTTGTGTCTCGAGCTTCATTTCACCTTCTTCTTTCATCTACTTTATCTAGCTTTAATGATTCTGGGATTTCATGGGCATAAGAAAATAAAGATGAGTTAAGCTACCACATTTGAAATTATTATCATAATCACTTTTTTTCCATTAAATTTTGTCTTCCATACACTCTTTTTAAAAATGTCTTCAGGGTAGAAGTTTCAGGCAACACATTGTATACCATCCCTTCCCTCAAAGATTTTTTTTTATAACTTTTAATGGAGTGATATTTGAAAGAAAACAGAGTGTGGCAGCACATGCAAGTAGACAAACTCTGAAGATGCAGAGGCAGGACAGGCATGAGTTCCAGGCCAGCCCAGGCTAAAAACAAACAAAATAATTAAATATCCTCCATGCATGTTAAAAGGAGAAATTCTCAGAGATGCTTCGCTTGTCACATGAGTTCAGTGACTTCAGCTCGTGGACTTGACTTCAGAGATGTTCATGAATGCCTACCCAAGTCATTACTGCAAAACTAAAGAGATTTAGTTTTGCTAGTGGTAAACATGCTGGAAGATGTCAATGTCCTAAATATTATGAATGCTCCCTCACAATGCTATATTACCTTTAATTTCATGGTTAATACTCCTGTATGTTTAGAAAAATTCCTATACATATGGTAATTTAATGGATCAATAATATACCCATTATTGGACATGAATGAACACTTTAGAATGGGATTAATTCACATGTCCTTAAAGAACAGGCAGATGACTGATCAGTTTTAACTGGACTACATTCAGGTAGCCCAGCTCCTGTGTTCAGAATATATGACCAGATAGACAAGCTTCACGGTGTGGAAAGACCTTAACGGTGATATAAATCCATCACTTTATATATTCTTTTGACTACAAAGTTTCATCACAAGGGAGAATGAGTCACCTGCTTTTGCCCTCATTCAATTAAAAAGAATTAGAGGCAAAATAAATATAACAATATGTGTTTAAATATCATAAAAACTTTAGTAATATGATGTTAACAGCTAAAAATTATATCTGAGAAAGCTAGGTGCCATAAAAAGGGTGCATATCATAAAGAATAACAGTCATAGAAGACAGGAAATAGGTGGGTAGTAAGTGGGGGCATGGAGTGGGGAGGGGTCTGAATATGATAAAATATACTGTATGAAATTTTCAAAGAATCCAAAAAACTTTTTAAAAGAAATGAAAACAATGAAGTCGCACCATAGCATAAAGACGCTATAGATTCTGAAGAAATGTTAACAAGCATTTCAAGGAAACTGTCATTACTATCCCTCTATGTCTTTTACATTTCCCTCAACAACTGTAAGTCTATTGTGATGAAAATGTATGGGGGGCTGGAGAGGAAAACATACCCTTGTTATGAGCCAGACAGTGTTATCTGTACCACAGAATAAACTTGAAGGATTCTGCCCCACATCCTCTGCAGCCATTCATCCATGTAAGCAGCAACTTTAGTGAATATTTGTCATACAGAGACACCAGACTCAAATGTATTTTTACCTGTGCCTATTACTGAACATTATTATTATTATTATTATTATTATTATTATTATTATTGATTATTGGTCTTTTTGAGACAGGGTCTCCCTGTAGCCCCAGCTGTCCTGGAACTAAGTAGACCAGGCTGGCCTTGAACTCACAGAGATCTGCCGGCCTCTGCCTCCCAAGTGCTGGGATTAAAGGTGTGCCACCACGCTGAACATTAATTTTTAAATTTGATATATTTGAAAATGAATGTGCAATATTACTATCCATGTGCTTGTGTTTGATTCTTATATGGTTTTGTTTCAAATAAATTTTCAACAGGATTTTTTTAAAGGGGGGCTGGAGAGATGACTCAGCAGTTAAGAATACTGGCTGTTCTTACAGAAGACCCAGGTTCCAATCTCAACACCCACATAGTGGCTAACAATCATTTGTAACTCCAGCTCCAGAGGATCCAATGCCCTCTTCTGACCTCCGCAGGCATTGTGCAACACAGGTGCACTTACCTACATTCAGGCATAACACTCATATACATAAAAAACAATTTTTATGTACCTCACACCATGACACTACTGCCTCTGCTGTCATTTGCAAGGCATCCTCCCTTTTGAATGTCTTCATTTCCAAAGCTATAATGAACTTAAAGCTCTCAGCATTCCACTCTTGTTGGTGTCCTCATGGTGGTTGTACAACATGAGCAAAGAAATAATACCACAGAAGTCATACCTCATCAGAAAACAAAACTTTTTAAGAATTTATTTTACTTTATGTGTATGAGTGCTTTACTAGCATGTATATAAGTGCATCCACATTCATACAGTGCTGATGGAGGCCAGAAGAGGGTGTCAGATCCCCTGGAGCTGGAGTTACAGATGATTGTTAGCTGCCACTTGAGTGCTGGGAACCAAACCTGGGTTCTCTGAAAGAGTATCCGGTGATGGTAACCACTGAGCAATCTCTCGAGGCCCTCAGAAAATAAAACTAAAGTTATTGAAAATAAGAAATAATTTAATCACCTATAAGAAAATTGAGTGACCGTTCAGTTTTGTATATTTTTTAATCAGTTTATAGATTATCAAGTCTAATTTTCTTTTTAAAAATTTTTAAATTAATTTTATTTTATGCATAGGCGTGTATTGCCTGCATGTAGGTAAGTGCACCCGTGTCGTGCAATGCCCAAAGAGGACAGAAGAAGCTGTCAGATCCCCTGGAACTGGAGTTACACACAGTTGTTAGCTGCCATGTAGGTGCTGGGATTTGAACCAGAGTCTTGTACAAGAAGTCAGTGTTCTTAACCACTCAGCCATCTCTACTGCTCCCAGATTATCAAGTCTAATTTTCAACTCATGAAAGATTTCTTTCAGCAACAATAATGCTTACAAATTTTCTCTCCAAGAGGTATGGCACGAATGGAGATACATTGCAGGATACAAACTAAAGAGCTGAAAATGTTTTTAAAGTTGATCTACTATGGCATGAAACCATTAAGCATTTTTCATGGACAAGTTGAAATAAGTTTTTAACTTAATCTTAGCCTACTATCTTGGAGCATCTATGCATTATCTAGGTGGTCTGTTTAACTGAGTCTTCTGTCCCATTTTGTTTTGCAGCATCTGCAAGCACGTATGTCCCAACAGTGTGCAACGGGCGGGAAGTTCTCGACTCTACCACCTCATCTCTGTGACTGGAATTTGCAATTCAGTTCTCGTGTGTTTAGACTGTTAGACAAAGTGCTCAAGTGCTGCTCCACAATACAGAAACAGAGCAAAAGAACAACCCTAGTACCTTTTTTGTAGAAACAGTACACTAAATTATTTTTGAGGACTGTACAGTATATTGTGATGTGTTAGAACTTTTTAGGCTGATTTTAGTGCCCCTATTAACAACCCCCGCTCCGAACATGGAAATAACCATTGTTTACAGAGCTGAGCATTGGTGACAGGGTCTGACAGGGTCAGTCTACTAAAAAAAACAAACAAAAAACTATCCGGTGGCAATATTAGGTAACTTTTTTTCCTATGAAGTTTTTTGTAGGTCCTTGTGTAACTAACTTAGGGTGAGTTTCTATGTTGTATATTAAAGTTACATTATGTGTAACAGATTGTTTTTCTCAGTATGAAATAAAGCCTCTGTAATAATGTAAAGCTATCAGGAATAAAACCTTCGAGGTTTTCCAGCATGGCGGATAATGATTTGTCCTTTTGGATCACAAAGTAATTTGAAGATGTAGATTTCAAGTAATTTTCTCTTCTGAATGTTGGAAGAAATTGCCTAACTGTGCTTCTCTCCACATCCACTTACCTTGAACTCAAGTTGTAAACCTGCCAGAGAGTTTAGGTGAAACTCCTCTTTTCTACAGATCACAGTGACCAGAAAATGACAAGCGGTGAGACCATAAGACCAGCTCACTGATGATAATGTGCATATTGTCTTCTTACAGCCTTGTCTATATGATGGCCCAGAAATGTCCAACTGAAGGTGTTCCTTCCTATACCCTGACTACAGAGACAGAGACCTGCTAGGAAGGGTCTGATGGCTCTGATTTTCAAAAACAATTTTAATGGCTAGGAAAGACTCTGGAAAGTATAAAGTAATTCCACTGTAAAATTACTCTTGCCAGTCATAGTTGAATGAGGAGAGAGAAAGCTTTCCAGTGCTTTCCTAAGACCTAGGAATTATGCTCAAGCACACAGATTTACCACTAAACTTAAATATTTTACTAACCTAAAAAAAGGCATGAACAATATTGGTAAGCTGAAACTGGCTCATTCTTACCAAATACTTCCCTACCTCTGTCAAGCTTTTAGCTGCACATCATTTATTAATGCTGGAAAAATTATTGTGAACACATCTATCTGCAGAGCCTATATCAGGTACCAGGGACAGAGAGTACATTCCTTTCCTGTGACAGATGTAAAAAAAAAAAAAATGCTATAAACTATGTGGCTTACAACAACAATGTATTCTGTCACAATTAAGGAGTCAGTAGGACCAGGCTGTCTTAATGATCCAAAGAAAGAATTCATTTCATTCTAGTGTCTGGTCCTTGGTTATGGCCATATCATTCTAAACCCTGCCTCAAACTTCACATCCCATTCTCCACTGTGTCTGTCGTGCTGTCTCTTAAATGGCATGTGTCATTAGATTTAGAAGCACCTAGATAACCCAGGATAATATCATGTTAGCATTCTTAATTTTCTGCAAAGGCCAATTTTTCAAATAGAATGTTCTCAGGGTTCAGGGACTAGGATGTAGACATATATTTTTTTGGAGGTCACTATTTAGTGCACAACAGAAAGGTGAGTAAGATCTAGCCCATCTGCTCCCTGCATTTGAGAAGCACATCATAGAGCGCTGGATATTGCTCAGCTGATAAAGTACTTGCTCTGCATGCATGACGTCCTTGGTTTGCTCCTCAACATCACAAATACAAACAAGAATAAACAAGAAATGTTATTTTAATAGGACTGTGGCCAAGAATGACTTGGAAAGGAAAGCAGAGGGGAATAAATATATGAGGGACCTACAGACTTAATAGTCAGTACTTGAAATTAGCAACATAATACTATTTTTTAAATATCTAAAAATAATTAACAGATGCATAAAGGCCTTGAAAGATATAGAATTCTGGAAAATCCTTTCTTCCTCTGCTTGCATTAGAGTCAACTTAACTAATCCATCCAAAATCCACCAGGCACTCCAAACAATGGTGCTTACTATTCTCTGAATCCTCATTTTTATACAGAAACCTGGGATTTGGGGAGTGAACTGGGATAGGTTGGGTAAGAGAGTTAAAAACTCTATGTAACAAAATCTAATTCTGCTGTGACTGAAACTAGCAAGGGTGCCAGAGCAGTGTGCTCAGAATGAGCATCTGCTCAGGCAAGATAAAGGCTGAGCAAGGCTGATGGGAGAGAAAATAAACTTGGTCCACTGATGGAATGTGACAGTCTGAGGAAGGCACATCAGATGGGCTCTGCAGAGACACAGCTGATGTCTCCAACAATCAAACTGATCATGGATCTTTTAAAACAAGACAATCAGGGTTGTCTCTGAGTCATAGGAAAACTGTAGTTTGGAGGGCTGGGTTTTGATCTATGCCCACTATATTTTATGCCCTGTCAGTACACTGAAAATGTATTAACTGACAGCTCTTGTCATTTTTCTCCTTCCTTGCTATAAGCTTTGTATCCGATTTGAAAGTACCTCACCTAGCATATGATTCCTCCCTAAAAATAATTTTTCTAAATATTTTATTATGTTTATTTTATGTGTATGAGTATATTACATGTATGTATGTGAGTGCACCCGTGTTGTGCAATGCAGCAGACGTCAGAAGAGGGCTTGAGATTCCCCTGGAACTGGAGTTAAGGACGGTTCGTAGCCACCATGTGGGTGCTGGGAATTGAACCCGGGTCCTCTGAAAGAGCAATCAGTGCTCTTAGCCACTGAGCCATTTCTCCAGCCCCAAAATAATTTTTATAAACATTCAACATATGTATGGAAAATAGATGCTTTAAAATCTTTTTATGTAAGACATTTTAAACAAATAAGTTTGGGGACTTTTTTCCCCACACAAAGCATTTCATCCTTCCAGAATTTAAAGCTAGCTGAGCCAATCTATCTTTGCACCACTTCTCTAAATTTAAGGATCCCAAACTCAATGGTAGATCCTATTCAAGAAAAGCTTTTCAGAACCTATCTACTTAATTATCCTTGATTTTATGAATAGTTACAGATTCTGAGGTACTCTGTGTCCTCTCTAGTTTAAATATTAATAGGTTTTTCCTACCTACCCAAATTAATCATGGTGAAATAAAGCAGCTCCTATATTTAAACTTCGAGGCAACCTGGCTTCTAGACCACACAGAGGACAGATGCAAAGAATGGCTGAGAAAGGTAATTTCTTCCAGTTGCCTTTACAGTCCTCAACTCCACACTTTTTCTCAGCTAGCCCCTGCTGCATCCGCCTGCCCACCATGATAATTTTAAATCCAGCAGCTTTTGCAAAAAGGGTTGCAAGTTAAGCCAAAAAACGTGAAAAGCTAGGAAGATGGATTATAACTAGAGCTCTAAAGACAAAAGCCCACACCCATGGGTAAGGCAATTACCCATGTTGCTCTGAGATAGCAGGTTTGGATTTATGTAACTCTCACTCTTTTATTTGAAGTGCAACTGGTAGAACTTTATAATCAGTTGTCTGACATGAAGGAAATATTGCCCCAATCTACTTCAAATTCACAAACTGTTTTAAACAGAACCTTCTTTCCAGAGTTATTAAAATGAAGAAAAGTCCAACAAATGAAAATCCTTAATGTGACATTTCATTTAAAGAAGCTGGAGATGTTTCTTGAACCAACACTTGCTAAAGGAATCCTAAATGCCTGTTTCAGTTCCATAGTAAAACAGAATCCGGAAAATGGGTGAAGACTGGGGTGCATCCTCCATGAGCAAAGGCGAACAAACCAGGGAAGCTCCTCCAGTGCTAGTCTCAAGAATCTATGCTGGAGCCATTTTACATGTCAACTTCCCCTTCTCTGAAGATCTCTTCTACCTATGAGATGATAAATGTGAGCAACACATCTCACTCTAAACAAGAAACTTGTCTTCATGAGGAAAAGAGTAACACATTAGCTTCCCACTAGGAATGACCATGAGCCATAGGGATTAGTGCTACCAAAAGACATCAAATGACACGTGGCCAGACGGGGCTTAAAGAAGCAGAACTGACCATTACCCACCACCTGAGGACCTGAAGACCACAGACGGTAAGTGACTGGGCCTGAATAATTCTTTCACAGCATGGGTTTAAACCATCTTTTTTCTTTGGAAAGAAAATAATGACAAAAATCTACACAAAAGTCCTATGAAATATTTTTAATCCTAAGAAGGATATGATTATTAATAACCAAAGAGGGAGAAAGTCAACAATAATAAAATTCAATCTTTTAAATCAAGTGAACAGATATCAAATTGCTCAACATTGTTAAATGGCATTATATAATTTATCCAGAGACATGTTCTCATCCAGTGAAAAATTGATTTCGATATGTTTTGACACAGTGCTAAGAGATGTTATCGGCGACAGTTGACTTAATGAAGTATTTAAGACTTCAAAGTATACCTTTTAGAAAAAATAACAAATAACATCTTATTCTATCACTGGTATGAAGGGAGAATAAATGTCAATTAAAAGTCACAAAGCATAATTAATTTGTTTATGCCTTTCAACATTTCACTGAGTTTTTCAAAGGCCAGACATAAAACTAAAGTGGATTTTATAGCCAAAATTGGTCCTCATATTCTCCTCATAATATTTTCTCTGTCATGTCATATTTCTTCAGCTCTTAGACTAAAATGACAAGATATTGGAATCCAAAGACAGGACTTGGCTGACAAAAATCGATTTAGTATCTAAAATTAGAAATAAAATAAATACCTTCTTCAATATCAACTGCATTTTCAGAGAGTTCATTAAAATTTAAGGCATTTTTGACATGTCAGAGATTTTAGTCCAGTGACAAGGGAAGAAAGAAGCTACCTGAGGGAGAATCCCAATTATCTCTATGGCTTGGAACATACATGTTGAGACAGCAGAAGATGAGGGGTGACAGGTGACAGAAGACACCTTCTCACTCTGTCCAGTCTGTACAACTCTGACAAGATTCCTCCTCTGAATGGCATTTCAAACATATTTCCATTCTTCTGGTTAAAATTTGATCAAGATGGGAAAGGTATGCTAATGCTCTGATATTGGGTCAGAAATGAGCAAGAGCAAAATAATTTCTTCTTTATAAAAAGATTAAAGAAATTAAATGCAAGAAATTATGCAAAGTAACATTCTCTTCAGTCTTATAATTAAAACATTGCCTATTTCCATATGTAACAGTAGAAATACATACACACACATACACACACATTCTTTTGGTGAGTGCAAAATAGTCCAGTATTTTACTCATTAACCAATAAACACAGTTATTCATATTTTCCCATTTTCCACAAAAATAAAGACTACACAACCTACAGAATGAAACACTACAAGTCATACTTCATTGAAAAACATTCTTAAAACCCGTGTGCCTTGCCTCTCTCAATTGTAAATATTTTAAAATTTTTGGATTAAGATCTACACAGATTACTATTTATTACAAACAAGCCAGAGGACCTTAGATAACCAAAGTCCAGGAACCTTCCTCTCTCACAGTACTAAAGTTTATATAAAACTGATCAAATCCATCTTCAAGCTTCTTTAAAAAATAATATCCAAGTCATGTTAATATTTCTAATCCATCATAAGAGATATCACAATTTTCTGATTCAATTTTGAATAGGAACAATACTTATTTCATAACTGCTAAAGATACAGTCACATTCTTACTGTGAATACAGCTCTATGCATTTCCCAAAGCTGAATTTCTGCTTTATTGGCTTAAAAATAAAATCTTCCAAGAAACTCAAAGTCTTGTAGCAAAAGAAAAAAGAAAAACCCATAGAGACTCTGGCTGGTGCTTGATGTGTAGGAAATATCCTATTGACCCTTACTGAAGACCATGGAATGACCCATGTAAATCAGTACAGTTATCTGTACTTAAGGACAAGCTGTTCCTCTTCTCCTTCACGACTGTACATGTGATTTGATAAATAAGATTTTCCACGTGCTTTGTTCTTCAAGTGCCACAGAAACTGCTTTAAGTCCTTTGGCTTTTTGATAATACCAGACTGCTTAAAATTAATGGAAAGCCGAGGTTTCTCCTTGCCTGCCACCCATTAAGATTTCTTCAACCTTTTAGTCCAATTCTTCTTACCAGTTCCAACAAAAAGGAAATTTCAAGTGATTATCAGCTTAGATAACTGATAATAATCAATAACTTCACAAAATATCACCAATATCTTAAGCTTCTGAAATCAAGAGAAAACATCCTACGAAAAAAATGAAAAATTTATTGTCTTTAATTAGTTGTCATTTTTAATAGAAAAGATGTTTTCAAGGTCTGTTGGGAAAATAAAGGAAAAAATAATTATACCTTAAATATTTTTTCAAATCTTCCCCAAATTACAAAGACAAGACATACGTGGGATCACAAAGCATATGCTCATGTCTGCCTTCCAACACATTTTTTTGTGCAGACATTACAAAGAATTAAAGTTACCCATTAATTATATGGCATGCATCAGCAGTGCACTGGTGGGCTTAAACTTGGGCTTCCATTATGTGTATATACAGATAAATCTCTTCCTGAGTTAAGCTTCATCTTCAGTTGAGACCCAAATCATCTGTGTTCATAGTTTGACAAAGTACATAATGTGTGATAAGGCAGTCAGCATGTCTACCTCTTTCCCCTTTTAGCAGCATGGCCCTCCTCTGTGAGATCACAGACAGGACAGGTGTGAGAATGAGCCCTAACATATGGTCCTGTGAAACTAGAGAGCAGGTTTCTTTGTTCATTAGTCTGAAAGCTATAGCACTGTATCTTCATATATTGGGGGATCTTGAGGATTTCAGCTGAACAGATTCAAAGTGGTCTTCTTTTTCCTAAGGGGGTAAAAACAAAACAAAATCAACTCACTGAAATTACAATAAGATTTTAGACTCTTACTGGCCCAGAAAGTACATTCCAAAAATCACTTTGATCTATGAACCTGCCACTTATGATTAGGATTTTGCACTTAAAGTACAGTGGCAGATAAAATAAACAACATGTCTACCCTGAAGGGTACTTTTGATGTTCAAGTGATAAGACAGACAACTCCAAAAGAGAAACAAGCATGTGACTGAGCAGATATCCAAAGATATAGTTGCAATTCCTCTGAAGAAACAAACCGTGGAGACCTTCCTGAGGGCACACCTGACCTTAGTATGGTCAGTAACCTTGATGTGCTAATTGCAGGCGAAACAGAGCCTGGCAGAAATTAACATCAAGATAACATAGGCTGAAAAATAAGAAAATGGACAGCAGAAACAAGTAAGTTCACTGATGTGTTTTAAAGGAATCTTTTGTGATTGTGCTGACTAGAGATATTAAACAAGTCATGTTAATTAACAGATCAAAACTACAACTCAGACATGCCATAATACATTTAGGGAGTACACTTAAGTTCTTCTTTAATGAGGCAAAAGAGGAAAAGGACATTGAATTTCTCCCAATGTTTTAATTATTAAAGGTAGAAAAAACTTTCTAAATACTTCTGGAATAGGAAAACTAAAAAGAGTCAGGATGATTTTTAAAATAAAGAAAATAGGGGGCCAGCAAGATGATTCAGTAGGTAAAAGCACTTGCCAGGAAGCCTGACAATCTGAGTTCAATGCCCAGAACTCACATGGTGGAAGGAGAGAACTGATTCCAACAAACAACTCTCTGACCTCCACACACACACTGTGATATTTGTACCCCCTATACATACATGTGTACATACACACACACATACACTTTTTAAATAGAAAGAAAGTATGGATTGAGGTGTAGCTAAGTGGTAGGGTACTTGCCTAGCGTGGGTGTCAAGCCCTAGATTCAATCCCTAGGTTGAAAGAAAGAAAAAGGGAAGAAGGAAGAAAGGAAAGGAAAGAGGGAGGGAGAGAGGGAGGGAGAGAGGGAGGGAGGGAGGGAGGGAGCCAGGGAGCCAGGGAGGGAGGGGAGGGAGGGAGGGAGGAGAATTAGAGGCTATCAAGTATCAAGTTCTAGGTGAAAACAGGTATCTAAAGTGTATAAGTGTAGGTATAAGGAAATTCCCAGGTATGGACATTGAGTAGCTGACAAAAAGGACATTTACTTTGTCTTCAGTTTCACTTGAATAAAGTACAGGCATTTTAGGGCTATAGAGTCAGGGTTACACTTTTTAAAATCACAGCATAAACACTAAATACCACTTTCAGCAGACTAGAGGTCCTCAGCACTTTGGCTGACTGATCCCTTAAGTACCTACTACATTCCAGGACAGGACTAGATTTTAGAGATACAAAACAAGTATAGCAAACTGCCTGGCTCCAACAAGCTAGTGGCATGTTAAAGGAAGAGTTTTAGGGTATCACACATGAATTAGAAAGGAAATCAGAGATTTCTGTGGTCTTTCCTTGAGAAGATCGAATTCAACATGTTCACATGTTCCTAAAGGGAGGGGATTCACATACCTCTTGATTATCCTCAATGTAATATTTAAAATAAAACACTGAAATTAAAATTATGTTGGGATCATAGTGCTACATTCTCTTCATGCCCATAGGATTATGGTCCTAACACTGAGATCATAGGATATATATGTGTGTAGGCACATGTGTTTAGGAGTTAAATATCTTCCTTTTTTAATTTCTAAAACTAGACTCAAGATAAGCCTAGCACTGACAAGTTTTCAGTGAGTAGTTATGAAAATGTATTGGAGGTAGGGCATGGTGACATATGCTGTATCCTCAGCACTGGGAGGCTGAGGTAGGAGGATCAGAGGCTACATAGTGAGACCCTGACCCCAAAATGAATGTATTGAAGCACCACATCAAAGAAGGAAACAGGAGATTGGAACTCAGGAGACATTGATTTCTCATCTCTTGCACCCATTGGACAAATCAGAGATTCTCTACATAAATCTTAGTTTATTCACCAATTAAAAAAGGGATATCATATAGGATTTGAATCTGCCACAAGGTTCTAGAAACTTCTCCTCACTGACTTACTGCCTCTCAGAGTGTATTACATCTCCTCTGAGCTCCAAGAGCTCCTAAACTTGTTTTTGTGATGTTGAGAGGCCATGTACTCATGTCTGATATGTCTCCCCAAATATACTAGACAATGTCTACAGTTAAAAATCACTATCTAGGGACTGGAGAGATGACTCATTGGTTAGGAGCATTGGCTGTTCTTGTAGATGACCTGGGTTTGAATCCCAGCACCCACATGGTGGCAAACAACCTTCCTTAACTCAAGTTCCAGGGGATCTGGTGCCCTCTTCTGTCCTCCACAGGCATTGTATGACGCAGGTGCACTTACATATATGCAGGCTATTCACTCATTCACATAAAATAATAAAATATACTTTTAAAAATCACTATCTAATTTGACATATCCTCAAATTATAAAAAATATCTTATAGTACCTTATAAATGACTGTAGAATAACAAATCAAAGAAACTAAAACTCAATTACAGCTGGTTTTTAATTGTTGAGAGAAGCCAAGAAAAATAAAGATACAAATAAACACATTTATAAGTAGTAAAGTGCTTGGAAAATGTCAAATAAAGTATGGCCTTAGAATATGAATGAGACAATATAAAATAAAACCAACAACAATTTTAAAAAGTATAAACATTTTTGTTTGCTGAACTCATGCATACCAATTTTTTAAAATGGTACACATAATAAGACTTGTACAATGATAGGCATGGTAGCTCTATTCACACAAACACTAGAAATAGCACAGGTAAGCATTAACATAAATCCATACAATATTATACTACCCCTGAATGAAAAGTAATCTACTGCTGATTAAAGCAGGGTGGATAAATCTCACAAACATCATTCAGAGTTAAAGAAAAATTATATAAAATACTATATACTGTGTAATGTGAATATATGAGTCTCTAAAACAGACAAAACTAATCTAAGGTTTAAAAGATTATTATAGCCAGGTATGGTGACACATGCCTTTAATCCCAGCACTCAGGAAGCAGAGGCAGGCAGATAAAAAAAAAAGATGCAGTAGTTTTTTTAGACGATAAGGTCTGAAGTGATGTAAGTGCAAACTTCTCTCAGAACTCATCAAACCATGCATATACTTGCAATATATGCATTTCTCCTTAAAAGAAACCTTCAAATATATATCCCAAAGCATTCAGTGGTAAAATATATTGAAGTCTGCAACTTATTTAGAAAAAAAATTTAATATCACTGACAAAAAGATAATGAAATGGACAGATAGGCATGTAGCAAAGCAAATATAATAAAATGTGGGTGGGAGATTAATGAGTGTACCACTGTGTAATTCCTTTGTGTTTTCTGTAATAGTTCAAAATTTCATTTTAGAAAGAAATAATGGTTAATCCTGTCTGAGGTATAGTTTGCAAAGATATTTTTTCATTCTGAACAAGGCCATCCCTTCACTCTGGTGATTATTTCCTTTGCTGTGTATAAGTCTTTTTAATTCATTATGATCCCATTATCAACTTCTGAGATTATTTCCTCTACTATTGGAGCTATTTTCTATGTCTTTGTCTATGCCTTGAAATGTATCTTGAACTGTATTTCCTATGTTTTCCTTTAGCAGTTTTGAATTTTCAAGTTTTACAGTAAAATCTTTGATCCATTTTGATTTTGTGTGTGTGCAGAGTAAGGAATAGGAATCTATTTTCATTCTTCTACATGTGGATATTCAGCCTTCCCAGCACCATTTGTTGAGGAGAGTATCTGTTTTCCAATGTATTTGTCGTGTTCATCAAAAATTAAGTTGCTGTAACTGTGTGGGCTTATTTCTAAGTCCTCTATTACATCCCATTAGCGCACATCCTTGTCTTCGTGCCAGTACCATATAGTTTTTGTTACTATGACTCAGTTATATAATTTAAGATAAGGTATTTTGAGGGAGGCAGAGGCAAGGGGATCTATATGAGATCAAAGCCAGCCTGGTCTACTTAGCAAGTTCCAGGTCAGTTGGGGGTACATGGAGACTCTGTCTTTAAAAAAAAAAAAATAGGTGTTATGATACTTCCAGCATTGCTTTTTCTGTGTAGAATTGTTTTGGCTATTTGGGGTCTTCTGTGTTTCTATGTGAACAGCTAGAATGTATAAAGCACTGCGAAACTTAAACACCAAAACCTCATCCAAATAATAATTGGCCAATGACAGTTTACAAATACAAATGACAAATAAATATTTGAAAATGCTTGCAACATCTTTACCCAGCAGGGAAATGCTAATTAAAACTGCTTTGAGAGTCTATCTCACCCCAGTCAGAATTGTTGTAATCAATAAAACAAATGGTAACAAATTCTGGCAAAGATGTGAAGGAGAGAAGAACCCTTATATACTTCTGGTAAGAATGTGAACTGGTACAGCCCCCATGAAAATCAATATGGAGAACTCTCAAAAACTGAAAAATAGAACCACTATGTGACCCAAGTATACCACTCCTGGCTATATATCCATCCAAAAGACGCTAAATACTACTGTAGAGACACGAGCACACCCATGTTTATTGCTGCATTAGTCACACTGGGTCAGAACTGGAAGCAGCCTAGATGTCCATAAATAGATGAATGGATAAAGAAATATATATATATGAATTTTATTCAGCATATATATGTGGATTTTTATAAAGAAAAGAAAAATCATGACATTTGCAGAATAAAATGGATGAAACTGTAAATCATTATGTTAAATGAAATAAGCCAGTGTAAGAAAGAAAAATACTGCATGTTTTCTCTTGTATGTGTGTATCTGGTAGGGGGTGGGTAGGAAATTAGAAAGAGGCCCATGAGGGGGGAGGGATTAGTCTCTGAGGGGAAGGGGAAGAGACGGGGTAATAGAATATAGGTATGACATGAAAATAGGG